TGGTACCTTTCTCAGAAATTGGACTGTGGAGTGGGACGTCAATTGTTCAGCTAGTAGATTTGATTTTCTATGGGTATTGTTGCAATTGAACCATCCGCTTGTGTTAGTAGTGGATTTGTGGATTTTGTACAATTTCGATTAACAGCTTTAGCTACCGACCAGAAGGATCTAGAACCGTTGGGATTGGCAAGCAGTTTATCCCTAATTCTCTGATTCTTTGATTTCATTTATCCTAAGTTTGGACAACGTAATATGAGCATTGATATAATTTTTTTACATCGAAAATCTTCCGTCCTTGAGATATTATATTCAAGTCCTCGTCAAAAGTTCAAAAACTTTCTTATCAGAAGCATATGTTTTCGACCAAAAACCTAAGGATGATAGTTCTTATTAATGTTCATAAGTTGGAAAGTAGTTGTTTTGAATGGGTTTGTTCTTTCAGTTGAGTTCCGTTGTCCTCACCATTTGACTCCGTCCTTTTGAAGGCATATGCTCCATAACCTACAACGCCCAAGCATAATGCTATGGCTGAAAAAAATAATATGCGTATATTTACTTGTGTAGTGGACAACTTTGATCTGATCTATATTTCTTTAATGGAATAACTTGATATGATAAAAATAGCTTCTTTGTCAGGGCAGAAGATGAACACATAAGATTTTTTTTAATATAACCTCTCAGTAGACGTGATTGGTTTGTCAAAACGTTATATTATCTTTATGATTTTATGGAGACTTGAACAATGATCGATTCTTGAGATAATACAATTCTTCACCACATTTCAGTGCCAGTTTTACCTGTGGTGTTTTTGTATTTTAGTCAAATGTCTCATGTCTCATGGAAGTTTCTTTGCTATGAGACATGTGACTACTACATAATTTTATTCAGGCAAATTTATTGAAGTTAAAATGAAAGTGAACATGAAAGTTAATAAAAGGTGAAACTGAAACCTCTCTCGTAAAATGAATGCAAAACAAGTAAAGTTCTCAAACACCAAAAATGCAACATTCTTCTTGACACACATTTCACCAAGCAAGTTGGCTTCTTCAGGAGATGTACACTATTTCCTTACTCTTAAACTGGTCTCTATTCAAATATAATACATTTTCAACACAGACCGATGATTTCAGGTAAAAATTCGCGGGGAAATTTCTTGATACTTCCCAGTTGATGTGTGTTTGAGAGATGAAAATAGAGACCAGTTTAAGAATTAGGAAATGGTGTACATCTCCTGAACAAGCCAACTTGCTTGGTGAAACGTGCGTCGAGAAAAGTATTACAGTTCTGGTGTTAGAGTACAGTTCTAACCTAACCTAACCTAACCTACACCTTTACCTATAAAACCAAATTGTGGCAAATCATAAAAGTAAATTTAAAAAAAATTAATTAGGCAACCACTTTAAAGGATCAGTGTGAACCTATGTCATAAAGTTTGGCAGGACTATTGGAAGGTTAAATTGAAAGAAACTCAATATTATCCCAATAGGTAAACTATTAAAGATGAATATCGAAAGGCAAACTGTAGCCTCTGATATATAATGAATCAATGCCTACACCACAAAAACAATTTGTAACCAACCGAAGTGACATGAGAAAAAAACTATTTAGTATTGAAAAAATGTTTTTGTTGAAAAAAATATATAACATATGTTTGTTGTGAAGTCCATTATCATGCTATTAATAAAAATAATATTTCGAGTGNTTTATTTGCAAATTGAAACTTTAAGTAAAATTTACATAAAATTAGTTTCCTCAGATTTCGTTCACTGCCAGTATTGATGTTCGATTTCCCCTTATTTCGATAAATTAGGACACATTGGCAACACTGGATAGAAGTATTCAGGGTGGCAAAAATTGACAGTTTGGTGTTGCCAAGCATTTGTTATTTTTACTTTTTAAGCATATGCAAAACGTAAAACTATCAACTATCCTATGCTTTCTTAACTGGATAATGGAGGTTTTTATTGAGTAGTAATCAAATCATTCAGTCGGCGTTGATATAGTGTTTTCCTTTTTCCGACGCCAAAGAACAATTAGAGTTAGTCCAAGATACTAAGACATATTTGAAGGCTTGGCAATAAGCAGATGGTCATTATGTAACCTTGAAAACCCGTGATTCGCAAATGAATAGATTTGGACTTTGGACCACAGACGTTGATCTTGATCTGTGATCATAATCATTATACGTCACATTAACGTAGTCCAGGAACGTTTACATCACATTCCTATGAAACGGTTTATACCATGACTACACGACGTCGAAATTATATTTACCTTCCACGTAGTGGAATTAAAAAGGGATATTCTAAAAATAATGATGAATGTGACTGCCACTTGAAGATATGTTCATAGCACTCAAGAAAGTGGCAAACCATAGACACGTATTCCGGGCTTTTGGCCCATCATCAGTATGGTGCAGCCAAGCGTTACCAAAAGAAAGAAATAGGTACAAATGCACGGAGCCACCCGCACATTTGTGGTTTCAGTTAATAAATCTTGTGTTTACAAGAAAACTATCAAAACCACCACGGAGGCAGCTGCGTGACATACCAAAACACGTGTCTATGGTTTGTCACTTTCTTGAGCGCTATGACTTCTGTATCTATATCCAGACACTCAATAACTTTCATATTTGTATAATATCCTCTAATATTACC